TTCAAGTCCTGGATATCCTTGTTAATTTTCTGTCTGGTTGATCTGTCTAATATTGACAATGGGGTGTTGAAGTCTTCTACTATTATTGTGTGGGAGTCTGAGTCTCTTTTTAAGTCATTAAGAACTTGCGTTATGTATCTGGGTGCTCCTGTATTGGGTTTGTATATATTTAGGATTGTTAGCTCTTCTTGTTTTATCGAGTCTTTTATCATTATGTAATGTCCTTCTTTGTCTCTTTTGATCTTCATTGCTTTAAAGTCTATTTTATCAGAGACGAGAATTGCAACTCTTGCTTTTTTTTGCTCTCCATTTGCTTGGTAAATCTTCCTCCATCCCTTTATTTTGAGCCTTTGTGTATCCTTGCATGTGAGATGGGTTTCCTGGATACAGCACACCGACGGGTTTTGGCTTTTTATCCAATTTGCCAGTCTGTGTCTTTTGATTGGGGCATTTAACCCATTTACATTTAGGGTTAATATTGTTATGTGTGTATTTGATACTGCCATTTTGATGCTAGCTGGCTGTTTTGCCCATTAGTTGATGCAGAGTCTTCATTTTGTTGATGCTGTTTACCATTTGGTATGTTTTTGGAGTGGCTGGTACTGGTTGGTCCTTTCTATGTTTAGTGCGTCTTTCAGGAGCTCTTGTAAAGCAGGCCTGGTGGTGACAGAATCTCTGAGTACTTGCTTGTTTGCAAAGGATTTTATTTTTCCTTCACTTTTGAAGTTTAGTTTGGCTGGATATGAAATTCTGGGTGGAAAGTTCTTTTCTTTAAGGATGTTGAATATTGGCCCCCACTCTCTTCTGGCTTGTAGGGTTTCTGCCGAGAGATCTGCTGTGAGTCTGAGGGGCTTCCCTTTGTGGGTAACCCAACCTTTCTCTCTGGCTGCCCATAGCATTTTCTCCTTCATTTCAACCCTGGTGAATCTGACGATTATGTGCCTTGGGGTTGCTCTTCTTGAGGAATATCTTTGTGGTGTTCTCTGTATTTCCTGGACTTGAATATTGGCCTGCCTTGCTAGTTTGGGGAAGTTTTCCTAGATAATATCCTGAAGAGTATTTTTCAGCTTGGATTCATTCTGTTTGTCACATTCAGGTACACCTATCAAATGTAGATTAGGTCTCTTCACATAGTCCCACATTTCTTGGAGACTTTATTCATTCCTTTTTGCACTTTTTCCTCTAATCTTGCCTTCTCATTTTATTTCATTGAGTTGATCTCCAACCTCTGATATTCTTTCTTCTGCTTGGTCAATTTGGCTTTTGAAACTTGTGCATGCTTTGCAAAGTTCTTGTGTTGTGTTTTTCAGCTCCATCAGTTCACTCATATTCCTCTCTAAGTTGTCCATTCTTGTTATCATTTCGTCAAATCTTTTTTCAAGGTTCTTAGTTTCTTTGCATTGAGTTAGAACATGTTCTTTTAGCTCACGGAAGTTTCTCATTACCCACCTTCTGAAGTCTGATTCTGTTATTTCATCACACTCATTCTCCATCCAGCTTTGTTCCCTTGCTGGTGAGGAGTTGTGATCCCTTGTAGGAGGTGAGTCTGCCTCCTTAATGGTGGACTCTCTCTGTTATGGTGGGTTGCCTCGGCAACAGCAGGCTGCCTCAGCAATGGCGAGCTACCTCCGTAGGAGTGGAGTGCGTTGGTAATGGCTGACGCCCCTCCCCCACAGAGCCGGGCTTTCTGGGTTCAGCTATGCTTGCTGTGAAACTGTCAACCCCAAGCGTTTCCAATTACCGTTTTCTTTGTTTTTGTTTTTGTGGTGGTGGGACCCACGGAGCCTGATCACCTGGCTCCCTGCCTCAGATCCTTTCTTTTTAAAGTTGAATGGTTGACTCTTTCCCAAGTGTTCCAGTTGCCTGCTGAAAGGGTGCTGAGATCTGTGTGATTTCCTGTGCAGTGACCCACTGTGCTGGCAGAAACAATGGCACTGCCTGGGAATCTCCTGGCCGGTTTTCTGTTTCAGACCCCTGTTTAATCAGATGAATGGGCGAATCTGCCTTCTCAGAGTTCCAATTGCCAGCTTAAAAGGGCAACCAGACCAGAGTATTTTGTATGGAGAACCGCCGCGCCGGGGCACCAGCAAAACAGCTGCACTGGTGGAAACAGCCACACTGGTGACCCGTGGGGCTCCTCTGTCTGGGAATCTCCTGGTCTGTGGGCAATGAAGATCTGTCTGGAAATGCAGCGTCCACTCACCCTCTGTGCTTTCACTGGGAGCTGCAATCCTGAGCTGCTCCTAAAGGGCCATCTTGGATCTTCCTCCTCTTCTAATTATTCTTAAATTTATGTTTGATTTGACTGGGTTTCTTTTGTTTGTTTTTAAATTCCTTTTTTCCCCCTTAAGAATGAGACTTTAATGCTTATAATTAATAGTAGCCAGATTCAGTTCTTGGTACTCTGAGGGGTGAAAACTCTGTAAGAGAGTCCTTGGTGATAGAGAGTTTTTGTATGATGCTTTTCTCATATGCTGGTTGTGGTAGCAATGTGCTCAGTGTGTGAGTGACTTCAATGTCTCCTTCGGGGTTGAATGGTAGAGGTCTCTTAAAGCTTAGCTCATTCCCTCATCTCATGCACTCTTTATATACTTATTTCTGCTAGTATTCTGTTTACTGGTTTAATGGTTCAGGCTTCAGTCCAGTAGAGGAGGTGCCCCCAGGCAGGAACTGGTTGTGGCTAAAGCACGTGGATAAATGAAGTCCCAGGCTTGGCAGAGGTCGCTGGAGGAGCTCTCAGTGAGTCACACTGAGGTCTTATATGGGTGAAGGGTGGCTGCCGCCTCAGCTCTCCTGCCAGGCCAGCAGGAACGTCATCCACCTCTCAGGCCTGCTCCTGTCCAGTGCTTCGCTATTCAACTCAGACAGGCACCTCTTTCCATCTGCAGGACTACTGATGTTCCAAATAGAGAGGAAATGTGGCTCTATCTCTTGTGCAGGCCTGAACCTGGAGGGTGCTCCTCCTGTGGGGCTGCGGTAACCCTGATGTGTCCCAGAAAAGCTGTCTATAGATGCACTTGTGCCAAGCTCCTGTGGGAGAAGCCCACCTGTGCCTATGGTGGTCAACAAAGGGACAAAGACCTCCTCTTCTCCAAGATCCTTCCTGTGTGCTGGGGCTGTCTGACTGGTGGGATAGAGCTGAAGACTTTCCCTGCTGAGCCCAGGACTTCAACTGTGTCTCTGCTGAATGCAGCTTTCCACCAGTGGACGGATCTGGTGCTCAAACCCTGCGGTCTTTTGTCCCACAGGGTGTTCCCTTGATGCAAGCCCCCTTCCCCTGAGTGGGGGTCCCTGGGAGGCAACCACTGTGAGTGTTGCTGCTCCTCTGGGTCTTGCTGCCCAGTGAAGTTGCCACACGCCTGGCTGGTGTTGGGGAATGTCTGCAAGGGACCCGGTGATGTGTCCTGTCCTCAATTTCCCAGCACCGGGTCGCAGCAGCAGCTCTAACGGGGGTGGCAGGGGAGTGCGGCAGACTCTGAAGTGCCCTGGCTATAGATGGCCTTGGTGTCTTGGTTACAGGCATAATGAGCTGCCCACTAGGCAAACTCAGGGCCTCCTGGTTAGCCAGAGTGGCCCGGCAGAGGTGATCGCTGGGTTTGCACGGCGGCTTTCTCCTTCGTGGGTGAAGAGTTGCTCTACCAGGAGACACTGTCCTGGGCTGCGCTGATGGGCCTTCAGCCAGGAGCTGGTGCCTGCAGTAGAGCAATGGGATTTGTGCCGCCTTAGGCTGCCAGGGGAGAGACTTCGGCTTCTTAGGCAATGGGCGGGGTCGTGCCGCCCCCCAGAGATTCGGTCCCAAAGCTCCAGGGCGGTGGCAGGAGGGGCGGGGGGGGGGCGGTCTGTGCTCTGATTCTCCTTGTGCGGGGGAAGCCATTGCCCCAGGGCTGTGGGGCACGGGAGCTGTTCCTGGGGGAGCGCCGCTGTCACTGCCACACAGAAGAGTTTGTTCGGGGAGCGGCGGTGGCAGGCGGTGGCCCCACAGTTCTCGCGCACTAGGAGGGGCGGATCCCTTCCCACAGCCTTCGCTGCCAGCAGCGAACTGAGCCCCAGTCAGCCGGTAATCAGACCTTCCACCGCCTGGAGTCACAGCTGTCCCCACTGAGACAGCGACGCTGCCTTCAGGCCACGCGCCTCCGTGTCTGCTGCAAAGGTGGGCGTCCAGCCCCTGCCCCCGCAGGCCCTGCGCGTGACGCTCCTGCACCCCAAGTTCCCGCACCCAGGGACCCTGCACCCGCAGCCCCTGCACCCGCGGCCCCTGCACTCCAAGCTCCCGCACCCACGGCCCCTGCACCCCAAATTCCCGCACCCGGGGCCCCTGCACCCGCAGCCCGTGCACGCCAAGCTCCCGCACCCACGGCCCCTGCACCCCAAGTTCCCGCACCCGGGGTCCCTGCACCCCAAGCTCCCACACCCACGGCCCCTGCACGCCAAGCTCCCGCACCCGGGGCCCCTGCACCCGCAGCCCCTGCACGCCAAGCTCCCGCACCCACGGCCCCTGCACCCCAAGTTCCCGCACCCGGGGCCCCTGCACCCCAAGCTCCCACACCCACGGCCCCTGCACGCCAAGCTCCTGCACCCGGGGCTCCTGCACCCACAGCCCCTGCACCCCAAGTTCCCGCACCCGCGGCCCCTGCACCCCAAGCTCCTGCACCTCGGCCCTTGCACTCAAAACCTGCTTTTTACTCTCCCCCACTGGGGGTTATGTCGTGAACCATCCCCCACCCACTGAGAGTGTCTTTCAACCTGCAACCGCGCCTGAACTTTCCGACTGTCCAGCAGGAAGTGACTGCCCTTGGCCTTGGTCAGCGAAGGAGAGCCCTTCCCAACACCGCTCCTACTTTATGTCCCCGCACCCTCCCCACGTAGGTTCCTGTGCCGGGTGGGGTTAGGGCCTTCCCTCGTGTCCTCCTGGACTTCTGGGGTCCCCAAGGCGTCCCCTTTGGGTATCCCAGAGACAAACTCCCTGCTCACACTCGGACTCGCAGCCCCGCCTGACTCACAGTATGGGCTGCAACCTCCAGCTTCCTTCAAAGGTCCCTAGAAAACTGCAGTTTTGCGACAGCATCTCTTCCTGAAAAGCATTTCAGGAGGTGAATCTCTGCACACGTTTGTCCTTCCAAGCGGGAGAGGTGTGCTAGCAATGCCTCTAATCTGCCATGTTGGGGTGAAGATTTTATTTTTAATACTGTGTGGCCAAATAAAATGCGTCTTTGACTCAGACTCAGCCTGCAGGCTGCTGGCTGTCTTCGTGTCAGAGGGTATGTCGGCCCATGATGTACCAGCTCACAGACAAGGTCTGGATGAGCTGCTGGTGACATCAGTGAGCACAAGAAAAGGGAATTTTAAAAGACACCAGCGGGTCATCTGCACCAAACAGGTTGCATAGTGTGTAAAGTACAGACAACTGTGTTAAGTACACTTAGCATTACAGGAAATTAGACCGTCGCTTTTTATAAGATAGGAGTTCTATAACAATGGGTGAAATAGGAAGGAAATTCATAAACTAAGAGAATTTCAGAGCCAAAGTGGGTATTAGAGAAATTGTACAGTGGAAACAGCATGGTGCAGAAAGGGATTCCTGGCACAGAGGAAAGTCCTGAGTCCATCCTGGTTAGTACAGAGAATAAAGGAAGAAGGACTTCTTAGAGCAAAGTGGGTGGAAATGAAGGACAGATACGTGAAATTCCACGTGAAGTTAACAAACTTTGCAATAGAGAAACCAACAATGGAAAAAAAATGTTTTCGGAAAGATAGTGGCAGGGAATTTTCCTGCATTAAAGAAAGAACCACATTGGGCATTGAGTTTTGGGGGAAAATGATGCAGAAACCAACTCTGAGACGTACCCTAACAGCATGATGATGATGAAGATAGAAAGTTTAAACACGCGCAGACGCAGAGAGGACGGCGTGATGCACGGTTTAAACACGCGCAGGCGCAGAGAGGACGGCGTGACGCACGGTTTAAACACGCGCAGGCGCAGAGAGGACGGCGTAACGCACGATTTAAACACGCGCAGGCGCAGAGAGGACGACGTAACGCACGGTTTAAACACGCGCAGGCGCAGAGAGGACGACGTAACGCACGGTTTAAACATGCGCAGGCGCAGAGAGGACGGCGTAACACGGTTTTAAACCCGCGCAAGCGCAGAGAGGACGGCGGGACGCACGGTTTAAACACGCGCAGAGAGGACAGCGTAACCCACGTCAAGCGCGCACGCAGCTTCCACAGCAAACCGCTCCCGGCCAGCCTTGCAGCCTCCCTACCCGAAGCCCACAGTCTCTGCAGTATTTTGAAGCAAACATTACACAAATAGAGTTTTATCTATAAATATTTAGCATGCTTTTTTTTTTTAAACAAGACCATTTCTCCTAAAAATATCTACAATATTTAAAGAAATGTAATTTCTTAATATGAAATGGTTGTCAGTGCTCAAAGGTTCATTTTCTTGTAAATTAAATTTAATAGATTTTTGAAAATAGAGTTTGTTTTAATCAGTATCAAAATCGTTCATACTCTGACTGGCAAAAGGCCCTTTTAATATGGGCCGACTCCTCCCGCTCTCTCCCTCCCTCTCCTCTTCTTCCCTCATTCTTTCTTCCATTCTCCCTCTTCTCTCCCCCTTTTCCTCCCCCCTCCTCCCTTCATCTGTGTGTGTCTGTGCCTTGCTTTAATGTTATTTCCTCAAGAAACTGGAGTTTTGTTGATAAGCAACTTTGGTAAAGTCTAAGGATATAAAATCAATGTGCAAAAGTCACCAGCATTCCTATATACCAGCAACAGGCAAGCAGACAGCCAAATCATGAATGGACTCCCATTCACAATTGCTACAAAGAGAATAAAGTACCTAGGAACAGAGCTAACAAGGAAGTGAAGGACCTCTTCAAAGAGAACTACAAACCACTGCTCAAGGAAATCAGAGAGGACACAAACAAATGGAAAATATTCCACGCTCATGGATAAGAAGAATCAATATTGTGAAAATGGCCATACTGCCCAAAGTAATTTATAGATTCAATGCTATTCCCATGAAACTACCATTGACATTCTTCACAGAATTAAAAATTCACATGGAACCAAAAACGAACTTGTATATCAAAGTCAATTCTAAGCAAAAAGAGCAAAGCTGGAGACATCACACTATACTACAAGGCTACGGTAACCGAACAGCATGGTATTGGGACAAAACAGACACATATCCTAATGGAACAGAAAAGAGACCTCAGAAATAAGCCCACACATCTGCAACCATCAGATCTTCGACAAACCTGACAAAAACAAGCGACGGGGAAAGGATTCCCTATTTAATAAATGATGCTGGGAGAGCTGACTAGCCATATGCAGAAAACGGGAACTTTGAAACTAGACCCCTTATTTACACTTTATACAAAAATTAACTCAAGATGGATTAAAGACTTAAATGTAAAATGCAAAACTATGAAAACCCTAGAGGAAAATCTAGGCAATACCGTTCAGGACTTTCATGATGAAATTTACAAGAGCAATTGCAACAAAAGCAAAAATTGACAGATGGGATGTAATTACGCTAAAGAGCTTCTGCACAGTGGAAGAAACTATCAACTGAGCAAACAGGCGACCTACAGAATGGGAGAACATTTTTTTAATCTGTCCATCTGACAAAGGTCTAATATCCAGAATCTACAAGGAACTTAAACAAATTTACTAGGAAAAAAGGAACAGCCCGACGAACAGTGCGTAAGTGTTCCCTTCTATCTGCACCCTTGCCAGCATGTATTATTTTTTTGACTTTTAACAATAGCCATTCTGACTGGTGCGAGGTGGTGGTGAGATGCTATTTCCATCACTCCCTCTTCAGTACCTACTCAACTCAATGCCTCTGTGAACATAAACCACCCTCATTGATTATCTGGTTCCTCAGTGATAGGAAAAGCAGGACGCCTGAGTCTTGCTCTCCGGGTACCATTTCCAAGGCAGTGAACTATTGCATTAGCATCCTCCAGCAGTGACTAAGACGCTTGCGTTGTTGTGAACTCACAGATTCAACATACTTGATGTATTTCAGTCGATTGCAGTTATTATTCTTATGTATGTTAAGACAGTTCGGTTTCTAGCCAGCTTTAGAACAGTTCAATTTTTCGCCAGTGGGCACCTCTTCAAATTGGTCTGAATCCTTTTGACATAGGCTGTTAGTCTGTGATAACTCGTTTGCTTCTAGTAGGGCGTGCTGTCCTGACTTGTCAACTCTAATGCTTAGTGTGCTTGCGGACCGCACCTGCCTGGCCGAATGAGCGAATGGACTTAGCGCCCTGGCTTCTCTGCCTCAGGTCCCATCTGGACCCTCCTCTTCCTGACTTCTGCTTGTCACAGTGCCCAGAACGCAGTCATCTGTTGTTTCCTCTTTGCTGTCTGTCTTGGTGATATCAAGTAACCTCATGGCCTTATAATCTCATTGTGCACCAACACTTCCCATATTTATACCCTCAGTGTGGACCTCTCCCCCAAACGTCAGACTCCCATAGATTCAACTGGCTACTCACTCTCCTCTTGCATGTACAAGACTCTCATGGCCAAACTGAGCCCTGCAAGCAGGGCTTGCACCAGCAGCAGCCCTCCTCACCGCCAGCAGCAATCCTCCTCACCGCCAGCAGCAATCCTCCTCACCGCCAGCAGCAATCCTCCTCACCGCCAGCAGCAGCCCTCCTCACCGCCAGCAGCAGCCCTCCTCACCACCAGCAGCAGCCCTCCTCACCACCAGCAGCAATCCTCCTCACCACCAGCAGCAGCCCTCCTCACCACCAGCAGCAGCCCTCCTCACCACCAGCAGCAGCCCTCCTCACCACCAGCAGCAATCCTCCTCACCACCAGCAGCAGCCCTCCTCACCACCAGCAGCAGCCCTCCTCACCACCAGCAGCAGCCCTCCTCACCACCAGCAGCAATCCTCCTCACCACCAGCAGCAGCCCTCCTCACCGCCAGCAACAGTGCTCCTCACCGCCAGCAGCAGTCCTCCTCACCACCAGCAGCAGGGCTCCTCACCACCAGCAGCAATCCTCCTCACCACCAGCAGTGCTCCTCACCGCCAGCAGCAGCCCTCCTCACCGCCAGCAGCAATCCTCCTCACCGCCAGCAGCAATCCTCCTCACCGCCAGCAGCAATCCTCCTCACCGCCAGCAGCAGCCCTCCTCACCACCAGCAGCAGCCCTCCTCACCACCAGCAGCAATCCTCCTCACCACCAGCAGCAGCCCTCCTCACCACCAGCAGCAGCCCTCCTCACCACCAGCAGCAGCCCTCCTCACCACCAGCAGCAATCCTCCTCACCACCAGCAGCAGCCCTCCTCACCGCCAGCAACAGTGCTCCTCACCGCCAGCAGCAGTCCTCCTCACCGCCAGCAGCAGGGCTCCTCACCACCAGCAGCAATCCTCCTCACCACCAGCAGCAGCCCTCCTCACCACCAGCAGCAGGGCTCCTCACCACCAGCAGCAGGGCTCCTCACCACCAGCAGCAATCCTCCTCACCGCCAGCAGCAGCCCTCCTCACCGCCAGCAACAGTGCTCCTCACCGCCAGCAGCAGTCCTCCTCACCGCCAGCAGCAGCCCTCCTCACCGCCAGCAGCAGTGCTCCTCACCACCAGCAGCAGTGCTCCTCACCGCCAGCAGCAGTCCTCCTCACCAGCAGCAGCAGTCCTCCTCACCACCAGCAGCAATCCTCCTCACCACCAGCAGCAGCCCTCCTCACCACCAGCATCAGGGCTCCTCACCACCAGAAGTGCTCCTCACCAGCAGCAGCAGTGCTCCTCACCACCAGCAGCAGCCCTCCTCACCACCAGCAGCAGTGCTCCTCACCACCAGCAGCAGTCCTCCTCACCAGCAGCAATCCTCCTCACCACCAGCAGCAGTGCTCCTCACCACCAGCAGCAGCCCTCCTCACCACCAGCAGCAGTGCTCCTCACCACCAGCAGCAGTCCTCCTCACCAGCAGCAATCCTCCTCACCACCAGCAGCAGTGCTCCTCACCACCAGCAGCAGCCCTCCTCACCACCAGCAGCAGGGCTCCTCACCAGCAGCAGGGCTCCTCACCACCATCAGCAGCAGCAGTGCTCCTCACCACCAGCAGCAGTCCTCCTCACCAGCAGCAGCAGTCCTCACCACCAGCAGCAGCCCTCCTCACCACCAGCAACAGTGCTCCTCACCGCCAGCAGCAGTCCTCCTCACCGCCAGCAGCAGCCCTCCTCACCGCCAGCAGTGCTCCTCACCAGCAGCAGCAGCCCTCCTCACCGCCAGCAGTGCTCCTCACCAGCAGCAGCAGCCCTCCTCACCACCAGCAGCAGCCCTCCTCACCGCCAGCAGCAGTCCTCCTCACCACCAGCATCAGCCCTCCTCACCGCCAGCAGTGCTCCTCACCAGCAGCAGCAGCCCTCCGCAACCCTGCTCTTGCTGTCACATTGGTGATAAGCCCATCCTTCCAGAGGCTCAGGCCAGTATCGCTGGTGCCGCCTTTGACCCTCGCTTTTGGCTTCGCCCCTCTTCTGTTCTGACAACAAAACGTGTCAGCTCCAGCAGCCTCTTGACTTCATCTCCTTCGGCTGCTGCCCCAGTTCTAGCGCGATTATCTTTCCGCTGGATTCCTGCTGTGGCTTCCAGCTGCGGTCAGTAACAGAGAAACCTGCTGACCTGAAGTCAGACAATGTCCCTTTTCTACTGAAAACCCTCGTAAGGCTTAACGTCTCATTCCAGGTGACAAACCCCGTTTACAGAGTCGGGGTGGGGAGTGCATGTCTTGGCCCCAGCACTCCCTAACCTGCCTGGCCTCTTCTCTGCAGCCAATTAATCTATTGGTAATTTGGGAGGAAAATTGACGTTTTAACACTATTGAGTCTTCTTGCTGAACACAAGGTACATCTCAATTTATTTCGGTAGTCTTGCCGTTTTCTCAGCAGTGTTTGAGGTTTTCAATGCACAGAATTTGTGCATTTTTTATTAAATGTATCCC